CACCTGAAAAACAGTCTCGTTTATTTTTACTTCTATTTCTGTGTCTATTTGAATTAAATTACTCAGATCCTATGCAACAATTTGAATGATTTTACATACAGGATGTCCCGACTGCTATTTCCAATACTTAAACCGAGATTACGTTTTTTTTTCACTACAGGGTGGCTCGCTCTCATCTTCGGCATTGTATTAACCTCGAGAAAATATCCTTGTAAAAAATTTTTTTGCATATACAATAATGTGTAAATCTTAGAGGGACGTTTTACGATTGGGGATAGCGGTTGCAATTGAAGTGACGGTAAATCCTAATACAAAACTATACCCGCCATCGGTAAATCTCGCAAATATTTCTTTCTGATGAAAATTAACATTTGTAGTGGTTCGTTTTGAAATTAAGGCCTCATAAGAAGAAAAGGGTGGACCAATTACGAATAATTGCGGTAGTATGACACGGACTCTACATGCGAAAAAAGCAGTTCGATAGAGAAGCACCGTTTTCAGAGTCACTTTGAAGGATCGCATCCGCTCAATGTACCATATTAGAAGCTCTTTAAAGAACAATTAAACTGCAAAAGTTTGAAAGTGGGGAATTATTAAAATAATAGCCGCAGCCGTCTTTCTGCGATAATTATAATTTAAGATCTGTACGTAAACCCTAAGTATTTAAAAGGGTTTTAAGAGTGACGAAAAGTTAGAGTCGAGTTTTGTTTATGTTGCCGGATGGGGGAGAGGGCGCGTTACTTTGCATTCGTACAATGCAGAAGCCTTTTCGCGAGACCAGCCCTTGCGAAACCGTCAACTCGTTTAAGGATCGCAAAGTTCATAAACGTATGCTAATAAGTCTGATCAAATTTATAGTCCTGCGACTATAAAAGTTTACACGAAAAAGTTCTTTAGGGATTTTAACACTTTCCTGTTTCTTTATTCTTTTGAGAAACAGTTTGCATATTTACTCTTCATTTGGCCTTTTTATTAGTTTTAAAGTTCAACGATGTTACAGCTAACGATTCGGTTGCTACGTTTTCTGCTTGTTTCTCTAAAAGATTTTATTCTTAAACTTTTCTTAACTTAAATTTAGATTTTAAGTAAACGTTCGGTTTTTTATTTTTAAGAGCATTCTTCTACGTCAAGCTGCATAATAAAATGACACTATCGCGAACCATCTGTTTTCCTCCATCTATTCTTCTACAGTTTTAAATTTATAAGCGTACATCTGAATCCACTTCTGATACGGAAGGCTTTACTCTTGCAGCTAGTCGAAATTTGTTACATAACATTTGATCTGATCTTTTGTAGTACGAGTAGATATTAGTTTCTTAAAGAAAGAAAATTGTTTACTTGTTTAATCCCGATCGCGTTACCGAGATGATTGGAAATTTGAAACAAGTGGGCCAAAACCAAAGAACCAAAACGTCCGTCCAATTCTAGTTTTGAATTTTTTTCAAATAATTTTTCATATATTTTCAGGTAATTAAACACACTGTAGGACCGATATTTTATGGTGGTATCCTTAGTGAGCATGAGTCCATGACGCGGTCGAATAAGTCATGGTGTCGACCCGATACGAAAAATCTAAAGCCCCATTGCTAACAACAGTTATAGGGATGCTCTCAACCTGCAGGTGCATGGAAATGAGGGACATATATCGATGTTACTCATATATTGGCCTAGGGTTCTAGTGAGAGGGCCGAGGTGGGATGTCTATCCTGAATAATTCACGTGCGCGCGGCGTAACCTTGTCTCAAATAGGTGTGAGCTCTATCTTCGCCCTTCAGGTTGTCATCTCCAATGACTTGATCTTGACGCAAGTTTCCACAAAGAAATTGATCCGAACACAAATGCGCACGTATATTGGCAAAACATAAAAATGCAACGCTCACCTTGATTAATTAGATGTTATCCAGAAAAGTGAGCTCAATTCCCGGATCCATAAAATCTGCAACAAAAGAAAACTCCTAAGCTGCTGAGTTCGGAATGTAATGAACTGAACAATGCCTGAAGGGCCTCGACTTACTCGCAGTAAGCTCACAAGTACGATACTTTTTCGACCAACCTCTCCAGAAGGAAGTGGCGGGATACCATAAATTTCGCGTGCAAAAGTCGACCATAACTTAACAGAGTTCGCAAAGGTAATGAATCCGTACTGAAGGTAACAAATTAATTGAAAGTGATAAAAATAGCTACTTTGCTACGGTGAAGATTACGGCAGTTGTTTCCTTGTTGAGGATCCAATCCTGTTATCAAGTTCCGTTCATGATCCAGGTGGCCTAATTCATAAAATTAGAACCCTAAAAGAAAAACGAAGGTAACCTTCTTGGTTGATAAACTTAAAAATGTACATATACCTCTTTAAACAAGAGGGCCAATTATAGATGAATCTGCAACAATCGTCGATGGAAAATCGTATTAAATATCAACCGGAACCTAAAGAAGATATGCTGACAGATTAAATGCAAATGGCGTACTTACAATCAAATGAACAAGAGTAACTATATCCTCCTACTGGAGTTAACGGGCGAAATTCCATTCACAAATTGGCGCGGAATCCCCAATTAACGGAATTTAATCGCCAAATATTAACATATATGGATGGGGGCAATTAAAATTCAACGCGTTCTGCTGTTTAATTAAACATCAACTGCGCAAATTTTACTCACTTTGTTTTACGGATTTCGGCAAAAAGGGCTAGTTTTCACCCCTATAAAATGAAAATCGCCCATCGGCATAATATAGAACTTAATCCCAAATTTTCATGCAAATCGATGCATTTTGAAAAGTTTCCGGAGGTTTTATACAATTTTAAGTTTCGTTTCCTGGACTACATGCACGTTAGTAAAGGAGGTATTACATTGCATTGGGGTAAAAAATCACCCCCCCACTTTTTTTATGGAAATACAAGGAATCCGAATCAAACAAAATCTCGATTATGTAGATCTGTCGGTCCGTCTGTACTCTTATTTCCGGCTAGTTTGGAACCAAATTTGGTACACTTATTTCCAGATATTAAAGGGCGGAATCGCGCATGGGCATATGTGAGGGTGGTACCTGTGCTGGCCACAGCAAATTTGTTAGTTTACGTATGGCTTCTCGAACCACGATTTGTGATTCAGCGCTAAATCTGAAGCCAGTTGTTCTACAAGTTGCATTATTGAAGTAATCCATGGGATCACTAGTTCCTGTTGGAAGATTCTTGACTATATAGTCCAGGCAATACAGAACATATGAGGATCTTAGTTTACAAAATTAATGGTAGTTCTGGAAACAGGCTAACTATGTTTTTTGGGTTGATGAATCCAAATTTTTAACTTCCCACCAAAAATTCCCTCCGCAACACCCCAAAATCTTGAAAAATAAGAAAAGAATATGTTTTTTAAGAAATAGTTTTTTGTAATACTTACAAATTTGAAATGTAGATATAGTATGCAACCAAAAACATCCTAAAAAATGTTTACGTACTAAGCACGTAGGGAGCGTTCGTGTTCGCTCTCCCTTCACCCGCTTTATCTTTTGTTTTAACCCCCTCCCTCCTTTAATCTCAAAATATCATATGATCTTTTTGTCGCATTTATTGTCTACAAGACGGTTTTAAAAAAAAGCGATATTTTTTTTCAAAATTTGGAGGGGTTGCGGGGGAATTGTTGGTTGGTAGTTGAAAATTCGGATTCATAGACACAGCAAACATAAAACAAGTCCAGAACTACCATGTATTTTGCATACTAAAATTATATATTTCCTGGACTATGGATATGTTTGTGCTTCCATGATAAGCAAAACCTTGTATACGTTTTTAATATCTCAAAAAACCCTAAAGAACCCTCTAGAACACCCATGCATTAATCTAAATTCCCTTCCTAAATCTGATTCTTTAAAACGGTAGCTTGTGGCATGCCGATGTGGTTATCACCAATTTGTCTTACCTATTCCCCGATGAAGTTAAAAATGGTGGCGGTGTTTACTTCTTTTTCTGAAACTACTCCAGAAACAACTACTTTGGTCTCTAAAAAGGGTGAAGAAAATGTAACTTTCCTCTCTTAAAAAAATTGCTAGGATAATCTTAATAATCACATTTAAACTTGAAACATACCCGTACATAGATTGCTATGTGTCAAACGTCATTATTGCATACGATAATTTTTCAATTTTGATTGGAGTTTGAGAAAAAATTACGTATGAGAAGAAAGTGCGTTTCAACTCTGGTTCAAATTGACACACTCGCTGCGCTCATGTGTCAAAAACTTTAACTTCGAATTGAAAAACTCCACTTTCTTCTCTAGTTATACAAATAACTATTATCCGAAATAGTCATGAAACCTTCATTTTTATGCCTACTTTATGTCAGGGAAATGTTAGATTCCTTGAGGGAGGCAGACCAGCCTACTTTTCCTGCCGGCTGTCACTTTACCAACCGCAGCTGTCACTTTTCTTGCCGCACCTGTCACATTGCTATATGTCTATAGTGACTCCTGTCATCATTGACAGATTGGCATTAATCAAAAGTTGAAATTTTATATTAAAATATGATTTCGGGTAAAATTTAATACAAAACTCGTCAGTAAATTGTCATTACTGACTAGGAAATTAATGTACTCGGGCCCTTGTACTTCAACGTTCCCTCGCCAGTAATGTGTCATTTTCCTTTTATGTAATAGTAAATAACTATTACAGGTAACTGTCAGTGAACTTATTACTAATTGTAGGTGTACAAATACCGATAAATATTAACTGTTAACGTTTTTATCGCCCACACATGAAGTACCTTATCTGATGCTATTCAAATATTTAATTGTGCACAAAAGCTATAACATGTTACAAATAAGCAATCTTTTAGAATTTCTACAATGACTGTGACATGTTCAGTCTTGTTTCTGACTATATGTGCTTTGACTGTTGTAACCGTCTGTTTACCACAAAGAGATGGTTCACGTCTTTCAGAAAAGTTTACAGCGCGAGTGATTGTAATTTACACGTAATGTAACAAATACATCCATCTACTATTGCAGGATTATCAGCAACCAGTTGTCAAAATCAAAAATGGTATGAAAATAATTGGAAGAGTGAATAAAACTGTTGACGAGCAAAAAACCTACTTTACATTTCGAGCGATACCGTTTGCTCTACCACCAATCGGGGAGCTTCGATTTAAGGTTATTTACCAGTTAATTTCAATGTACCACCGCAAGTCTTTACAGCCGCCAGTTGCCTTTCCAGGAAATCTGTCAGGTCAATTAGTTAATGCGACTCAAGATGCTGCCAAATGTATCCAGTTCAGTTCACCCGGAGGTTCGGAAGACTGCCTGTACCTGAACGTCTACACACCTCAAGTAAGATCATGAATAATAAATTATTGTTGTGTTAGTATTCAGAGTTGTCCATCTGTCTGTTTCGTTCTGTTCTCTACATGTCAAAAGAATAGTTTGAATCAGACTAAAGTCAGATCAGCCGATCGGTTAAACTTCTGGTTGGGAGGGCTTAGAACAAGATCCTTTGGAAAACTTTGAACGCTGATTTTGGGGACCGAGTTGTTTCACGCGTTTTTTGTTTCTTAAGTGATTGTTAATTCTAATTTGCGTGCTTGGTTTTACTGAATTATAATGAAGCGTTGTGCTGGATCCATGCATGATGCAGATAACATAAGAAAGAGGCGCTTACAACATTGCAATGATATGATGAAATATTTAGAAGATGACCCAGTTAACTTTGCTTTCAACTTGATAAAGGATCAGTCACCTACGATAAGGTATGAAAGCGGAAATTAAATTAAAATAAATAAAAAGATACGTGGGTTCAAAAACCACACTATTAAATGACTTACTCATTTAGTGTTCATCAAAACATGATTCGAAAAACTAAATCCTAGGCTCCACACTGCCTTAAAACATGTGTGGAAAAAACAGGAATATTAATAAGTACAAAAATTAAGTAAACAAATATAATTATTGTATTTACCCCTTTTACTTTAGTTTTGCTTCCATCTTTGTAACTGCAAGATTTAATACGCTAATGGCAATCTCTCACTGATTTGTTAGTGGTTAATCCATCTTGCCTGATATTTACAAAACGATTTTGGAAAAATGAGGCGTCGGGTATTTAACTAAGAAGAATCACTAGTAATCGGAAACTAAGAAAACTGCAACTTCTTACACTATGTAACAGTAACATTTATTACATTGCAACAATGAAAGAGAATTTTGTATCCCTCTTAATTTGTTTTTTACCAAACGGACCCAAGCAATGAACAATAGATGGTTAAAGTACTTTTTCTGTTAATGTTTGTTGGAATGAACGGACTTATAAAGACTCCATGGAACAAACTGCTTATAACGATTAGATGCCGACTGGATTGAATGTTGAGAACGATTGCTGTCTTAAAATTTTCATCAAATTAGATTCCGGGGAAAATTTTGAAAATAACGAAACGTTGGGGTTATAATCGGTCTTATTGACCAGGAAAGTTTCTCTATTCTTTTTAACTAGTACAAAACTAGTGAACAGATAATCCAATTGATATTTTACAAAAGGGTTTCGTTTCTACACCGTATACTTAAATTCATAGTAATGCGAAAATGTTTCTTCACAAAGAGTATGAATGTGTGTACTTTAAGCCAGTCGCGCGAAAATGGTTCACGATAGGCGATAACGAAAGAATGTTTGTAGTGCGTTTATTTTTAACAGGATACGAACTTTGGGTTCTTTATTGTTTCGCGCCACCCGAACTAGGAGTTTTCATTATTTGGATTAAATATGTCGTCGTTAAGTTAATTTCTTAATTATGACTTTTTATCAACACTCGAATATCCGTAAATTTTGGAGAGACCTTAAAATGTTGGTCACTTCTGATACCACGTCAATAATCTGGTCAGCCCAACGATAAAAAAGGCGAATCTCTCTAGAGGACCGTACTGGTCGCTTCGAAATTCAAAACGCGAATCCTTTAATTATTATTTTAAATGTCACGCGGAGTACGATACAAAATGACGTTTGGTGCATATGACAATCCTGTATCTATGGAAACGACCGCGACGACAGAACCTAAGCTTCCTATTTTTGACGTCGAAATTAAATTCAGAATTGAAAGTTTACAATGTTTTAAATGGTTTCTGCTATAAAATAAAGTTTTGTATTATACACGACAAAGGGAAACTAACCACCTCGTGAAAATTAATTCACTCAATGGTTAAAATATCCCTTCATCGTCTTATACAATAAATTAAGCAAGCAAACTTCAATCAACAATCATACAACGCGCCTTATCTCAAAACAAAATTTTATAAAAATGCACCGGAATATTTAAATTTGAAACGCTCTGCTACCAATTTGTAGGCACAGGAGAGAGCACCCTTATGTATGATAAACCCGTAGATCCCTTCAGGAATATAAAAATGACTTCAAATGCAAATGTTGGATCAGGAATAAACCGTGCTTCAGGCTTACTTTGATTTAACGGACGATAATCAATAATAACAACAATAGCAATAATCAACTGCCGACGTTTCGCAATGTATACATGTACGTTAAACTTGCATTAATTGCCATTAACCTTTTTACCGGTTGCCGTTTTGTTCGTAAAAAAGTTGCACTTATTACAAACAAATTGGATGAAACACTTTGATTAAGAAATGAGTCTTCTGTAGGTAACTTGGCATTACCAAATATGGCGCAACGGAATGTTTTTGCACCCTGCACCCAAACCCTTAGGTAGTAACAATTAGTTAAAACGCGACACCCACGTTCGTTAAATTTGTTAAAAATAGCGGCACTGTCTCCGACGTTAAAAATTAATCATTTCCAAAATGTTTAACTTAGTCTCCGAGCGTTTCTTTTAGACAGTACGGTTGAGAAGTTAACGCCCCTTTGTAATTCAAGTTCAGGTAACAAATTTTACAGGCATTCAAACAAATAACAAATTCCAAGCAAAAATTGACTATAAAAATTAGATTTCCAATTTCGATTGGGTTTCGTGATCTTTAAAAATTTTTAAAAATCTTCTTGCTCTTAGTTGTTTTAGGATACCTCTTGAATTTTACCTTCTTTCCAGCTAGGAATCTTTCTCCCAGGTTAAACTCGATTTGTACCTAGCATATTGTTGTGAGACCTAACCTTTACTTCTGGGAATCCCACGAATTACCTCTAGCTAGCTCAGTTGTAATTAAAATGAAAACAAAATTTTTATCCGCATCTCAAGGTCCAGCTGGATTCTGCCACCCTACAGCATTCCAACAATGACATAAATAGGTGGCTTAACCAAATCCTTAAATTCCAATATGAAACTTTACCCCCAGATTTAAACAACTTGAAACAAAGTAAGAGACGCCGACAATTACCTCTCCTTGACTCTAATAAACAAAACCTGGATTGCAATGACTGGTTTAATTTCAAACAAAAAATTGCGTAAATTTCTGTTTTACAAATTGTTACAATTTTAAACAGATAAATGACACACACAAAAAAAAACAAATTACTCAAACATTACAAAAAAACAAACATGACAAAACAAAACACTAACTACTACTTACTTTTAAAATTAGTCCGAAAAAACGTACTCCGATAAAAAGAGGTAACCGTACACAAACACGCAAACCAACCACTCAAACACCGACGTCTTCTCTCTTCGGGTACCCACAAATTCAAAACTTCCGTGTTTCCGCAAAATAAAAAAAAAACAGGACGACGACAAACTTCTTAAACTTCTCAATAATTCTTCTTAAAACGGCAGACACAAAATTCTAATTAAACCTGGATCCAACTACGCAGGAAAACTTCCACAAAATTCAAAAAAATAACGTAACCGAAGAAGCGCCGGTTGGCTTTGTAACGACCAAAAAGCCCCGCTCTCATCCAAAATTTTCTATTTAAGCCAAAAGCCCTTCTCCTTTCTTCAACATCCCGTCCTCCAATCACGCGAAGCGTCGATTTTTCACCTTCTTGCTAAACGGCACGTACGCCCGGCAATTCTGCGAAGAACCTTATCTCTACTTCGCGCTATACCTCGTTAACGGCAAATAAAATTTAAAAAGAAATTTACATCGAAAAAAATTCTAGGAATAATATAAAAACAGAACACTTCTAAGAAATTGAACCAAAACTATAACATGAAATTTACGCAATCCTGTGTCTCAAATTATTAATAACCCCCCCCGGTTAATTAAATGAACTAAACAAAATTGTCACATCCAGACGCTCTATAATTTCTTTCAAGTTACAACTAAAACAAAATAATAATAATATAATAATCATTTCCAAAATGTTTAACTTAGTCTCCGAGCGTTTCTTTTAGACAGTTCGGTTGAGAAGTTAACGCCCCTTTGTAATTCAAGTTCAGGTAACAAATTTTACAGGCATTCAAACAAATAACAAATTCCAAGCAAAAATTGACTATAAAAATTAAATTTCCAATTTCGATTGGGTTTCGTGATCTTTAAAAATTTTTAAAAATCTTCTTGCTCTTAGTTGTTTTAGGATACCTCTTGAATTTTACCTTCTTTCCAGCTAGGAATCTTTCTCCCAGGTTAAACTCGATTTGTACCTAGCATATATTGCTAAGGTATTAGAAGCTGTCTTAGAAATATTTTTAGAAACAACGGTTGTTCGCTGTTGATGACAGTCTTGCTGTTGAAACGCGTTCGATATTTTAATATACATTATTGGTGTGTTTGTTGTAATTTTTATAAGAAACCTCTTTGGCTAAACGTACCTATTACTCAAGTTCTCCATTTCAATTTTAAAAGATAAAAACCTGCTAATTATAATAATGACTTCATGTTAATGTATTGGCGGGATAACTAAAAAAAGTTCCATTTTTGGTAATGAAGATCAATTTTTGGTAAAACGATCCAGAATTGAAACTTTAACAATGCTTTAAATGGCTTCTGCTATAAAATAAAGTTTTGGATTATACACGACGACAAAGGGAAACTAACCATCTCGTGAAAGTTAATGGCTAAATGGTTAAAAGATCCCCTTATCGTCTTATGTAATAATAATAAATAACTATTTTTCACCGTTACGTACTACTTGGTGTCCTTTATCTATCCTGAAAAGTTCCCAACATTTCAATGTTATTATTATGGCAGTTTCAAAATTCGTCAGAGCTGCGTCCTGTAATGGTATGGATTTATGGTGGCTCATTTATTGACGGTAACAGCGACTATTCAACTTATGGTCCAGATTACCTAATTAATCAAGACGTTATCGTCGTAACCCTTAACTACCGTTTAGGAGTTTTCGGTAAACACAAATTGCGTGGGGTACTATATTCCATTGTATTAATACTGCAGGGTTCCTATCGACAGAAGATTACGTTTCGCCGGGTAATTATGGGTTGAAGGATCAGATAATGGCTTTGCGATGGGTTCAGGAAAATATCGAATATTTTGGTGGTAATTGTGGTAAGGTCACACTTTTTGGGGAAAGTGCCGGATCAGCTTCAGTTTCCTATTTGACGCAGGCTCCAATAACAAAAGGTGAGACACGCAACAACGCACACAGTACCAAACATTCAGAACATTCATGAAAATCTACTTACTTACCACTAGTAAGTTACCATTCCTTTGATTTTGTAGGACTGTTCCAAAGTGCGATTATGGAAAGCGGAACCTCACTTAGTTCCTGGGCATTAGCACCAAATGGTAGGGAAATAACGCTTCGTATCGCCAATATATTGCTGATAGATACTAGCAGTTCTCAAGCAATAGTAGAAGGTCTGAGAAGGTTGGACGCCGCGGACCTACAGAAGGCAGTGCGTGCGGCGTTTCTTCAGGTTGGTACTACAGTCCTCTTGTATCTACATACTATTCTATTTTACAGGATATATTGAAGAAAAACCAATTAACTAGCATGCCATTTGGTCCAACTATCGAACCAATACATCCAGGTGCGGTTGTAGTTAATTACAGTTACGAGCAACTTCAAAATGGTTTACTCCATAACATTCCTTACATTATTGGATATAATTCATTTGAAGCCCTACCGTTGATTGATCGTAATTTTTTCCTTCATTTTAACAATATGATTTAACAAATTTCGTTTAGTGCTTAAGAACTTTCGTTTGATTTTGAGTCAATATGATCTGGACCCAACTCGTTTAGTAACGCCAAGCATGAATGTGCATGACTCGCCAACGAAACTGAACTTGAGCTTACTAATAAAAAATCATTACTTTGGAAACACGCCAATATCCTTATCACCAGATGAGTCTATTCTGCAGGTAAGTACATATTTTCGACGTAGAAACGTTGTGTTTCCTAAACTGTGAACGCTTAGTTTATCAGTGATGATCTGTATGTGAGACCAATTTTGAAGACAGCCACGCTATGTTCTCAAAGCGCCCCTGTATACCTTTACAAGTTCTCCTACCAAGGTGCTTTAGGTTCGGGAAAACGAAAACAACGCGGTTAGTATACTGCACTAGGAGGCCTGCGTATATGTAATAAAAATTTTCAGGTGTCGGACATTCTGAAGAATTGCCTTACATATGGAGAATGGCCAATAATCGTAATGAAGTTAACCCCAGCGATTTAGTAACCAGAAAACGTATGGTGACTTTATGGGCTAACTTCGCTAAGTATGGGTAAGTAAGCACTCTCGAACTAATTAGAAATTATTGGGGTAAATGTTTTAATGTCCATCTTACAGGAACCCCACTCCCGCTCCCGCTACGTTGCTTGAAAATGTCACTTGGCCTTTGGCGAACGAAAATGAATTTGGACTGGGATATTTGAACATTAATGTGACATTAAACGCTTCAAGAGATCCTGATTGGAAATCGTTTTTGTTTTGGACAAATTTATTTAAAAAATTTGGAAACCGTCCATTTACCACGTATTAATCTCCACTGTGGATATGCATATGTAAATAGCTGTTTCTTTTTGTTCATTTTTCTTTTTTTGCATAAATAAATGATTATTTGATATACCGCCACTGGTCTTATGTTTGGGTATGAAATCGATAAATCGGTAAACTAAGAAATTAAATGACAAAACATTTACAAAGGGCACGGAAGTCATAAATAAGTGAAATATTGAAATGATGCAATCACTTTAACACCCTGAGTGAGATTTTGGTTTTCTACCAATTAAGTAAGTATAAATACCAATAGATAACCACATGCGTTGCATCAAACAGCGTCTGATTTAGTTGTGTCTAGTATCATTGGAAGCGCGCTAATTTACGAAGATACGAGGCAAATATAATCATACATAATAATAAAAATGAATCATTTCCCCATTGTTTAACTTAGTTTCTGGGTGAATAGTTCGCGTTTCTTTTAGACCGTTCGGTTGAGAAGTTAACGCCCCTTTGTAATTCGCTAATTTTTAATTTAATGTAATTACTACTCACATTTTTTGTTTTGATCTTCAGTATTCACTGTATAATTTCTCTAAATCTGCATTCAATTCCGCAGCACACTTCGCTCGTCCGTGGTCGTATATCTACTGACCGCCCTGTTCCTGTAACGGGTGTGATACGGTGTGTGAATCATACGTTATCAAACCGTTTTATTAAATCATCGTACGTAGATGCTACAATAACGAGACTTCAAATAAATGTCAAGGATAAGTTCATTATACAGGGTGGCCCAACGAGAAGTATACAGAGGGCTTTTAGGGTATTAAATTTAGAAATTTCGAAAAATCCTCGAACACGTCAATTTTGTATTCGCGGGGGACAACTTTTGGAATACAAATCACGAACTCAAGTCTTCACCCCTCTTCGTAGGGAGCTTAACCCCTAAAATTTTAAATGGAATCTTATGGCAAATGGCACATTATTTGAAAGCCAATTTAATCGTGATTACTAATCTGCTTTGCTTCTTAAATTCTATAGCGAGGTGACGGCGCCCTGGTGGGACCGCCCCGGCCGCCCTACCCTCTACGCCGCCATTGAACACTAACGCTTGGTTTGACAGATATTCATTAAAATTTTCATGGCAGTCATGAGATGTTTTGTTCATGGCAATCATGATTTGTATAACAAAATACTTTACTAAGGAAAATGTGAAAACAATCAAGTTTATTATTGTAGGTATATAACAGTCATGTCAATGAAAAGAAAATAGAAAAAAAAACAGAAAAAGGGGATCCATTTATATAATTTAGGTTTTTTTGAAAATATTGAAACAAAATTGTTTTTGTAATTTGTGAAAACTGTATATTATTGTGAAAAATGATTATGATTATTCAAATAACCAGCAGTTTTATGGTACCCCCAAAATTTAATTTTTCTATTTCGGTGTCACAATGATGATTTTGTACAACTGTTTTCGGCCGAAAACAGTTGTACAAAGACAGTGATTATAGTCGTTTTTTCTTGGTAACTCATCTCTTAAGTTGGCAGTTACTAGTTAGTACAAGTAGGTACTTCGTTGGGTACTTCCATGTTTGAACTTCAAAATGTCAGTCTTACTACGCTGCCAACCTAAAACTTAACGGCATAAAAAGTGTTCCCAACATAAAACATGTTAGTTCTAATGTTCCCTATAGTTTCTGATACAGTGCCACCATGCTCAGAAAAGCCCCGGAAAATATGCGAACTAATTTTGAAATAATTCAGCCTGGCCAATAGAAAGCCTACAAAACGACGCGATACATTCCGCGCCATAATTATTAATTATTCCGTTTTGACAGTTGACGCTTCACGTTATTTTAATTTACACTTTGCTTCTTGTATTTGCTTTATTTTACGTTTTCCGTCTCCAGTTTTATACACACTCGTCTTTTTCAAGGCTCATATACCTTTGATCTACGATCTGATAAGGTAGGTATGTAATTCCCTTAAAGTGTTTTTAAATTTTGCATCAGAATGTACGGTCTAAATTTCTAGCGCCCTCGGACACGTCCTGTCAGGGACTTTCTGAGCGTGGTGCCACTGTAATGATTTTTTTAATTAAATTAAAGCACCGAAATAGAAAAAATAGTATGAAAAACGCGTGTTACAATGCTTTATTGTAATACTCCTATCTTGCGGACACTCGTGCCACAAGATAGTCGTATTACAATAGGTCGCATTGTAACACTTGTCTTTCAATATACTATTGTTTTACGTCTAATAGTCATTGATATACAAGGCGTCAAAGTACCCATGAAATTTTTTCTCCAAAAGTCAAAGATGTTCGTAGATATTGTTTAATAAACTGACCTTAATTTTCAAAAAGGAATCTAAATGAGGAATAAAATATGGGGTTCCCATTTAAAATAAGGAAGTAGGTATAAACGCAAGTGTAACAAAACTGCCACCATTTTAAAAAAGTACCCAGTTAACGGCCAAAAACCTTTGTGTGTACGTTTTTTTACCCAAAATCGTCCTGAAACCAGGCCTGAAACCTTCATTTTCAAGTCAACTTTCTGTCAGGAAATTTTGGTTTCTATGACAGAGGCAGAACAGACTACTTTTCCTGGCGCTTGTCACTTTACCGGCCGCACCGTCACTTTATCGGCCGCATGACGCATCTGTGACATTGCTAAATGTCTATAATGACTACTGTCATCACTGACAGATTGACATTAATCAAAAGTTCTATATAAAAATTGAAATGTTATATTAAAACACGATTTCGGGTAAAATTTAATACAAAACTCGTCAGTAAAATGTTAGTTGCCTCGGAAATTAAAGTACTCCCCACATTAAAAATCTCATATATTTTTTCACATCATCGTACGGCCTCTCCATTACCTCCAAAAACATGGGAAATACGAAAACGATCAATGAATTAAAATTTTCCGCGTAAACCAAGAAAAGCACATGGAGATTCGATGCTGGATCGAAACTGGGGGATAGATAAATCTGTAGTCCAGATTGAAAAACTAATCTTCGGAAACCGCCATAAAAGTGGTCCCCATTGCAAAATTTACGATCATGCAGTCGCATTTAATTAGACGTTTGATAAGTTTTCGCATGCAGGCCGCATCTCATAGTTTCCAATTGGAAACGATTCACTCGTATATCTGCAATTCTAAGTTCGGACGATAAATGGATGTTTCCATCTTGGAAGTTTGTACAGTTTTGTAATGCTAATTGAATTTCAGCGGGATAGAATCACATTAGTGCGGAACTAAGGTCGTATCATTACGTTGATGTAATAATATGCACATAATTTATCTTAAGGATGGCGGAACGCGCGCCACCGCTTTGGATTCGGCGTGGGATTTAGGCACTTAATACGGGACGTGACAATACAATAGGTAACAAAGTATCGGCGCATTCTGCAAGTGACAGGTGAAGTGGTCTCCCGGAAACATATTGTAATCCTAACGCTCGTTTCGGGATGCTGACGCCGCATACATACAACATAACATGCTATCTCGGGGGAATGTTAAACTTGCCAGAACTTCGAAAGGTGTCGGTGAGCGAGATTCCCTCTGTGATTTAAATCGGCGTAAGAAAAGAAATACTATCCAGCGAGTAGAGTGGAAGTAGCTTTAGAGAATAGGGCAAGAGTGCCTGTTTCATTTCAAGTGAATGTTCGTATTATAATATCGATGGCTACTACTACATACTATACAGGCTGTTTCACGTAAACCATTACCTAAAAGTATTCCGGCCCTCATTGATAATTTAATTCTGAAAATTTGCATGCCAACATAGTTGTCCATGATCTATCGAAAGAAAATATTATCATGATAGGGATTTCCCAAAAACGGTACAAAGTCCGCCGTGACTGCTAGTGGTCAATAAATTGTCATTTAAAATTTGGAAAAATACATATTTAGATATGTTTTGGTGAATTTATGTAATTCGCAATCAGCCCTCTCTTTGACCAAACTCTTTTTACATTCCTTTGTAGGATAGCAATAATTCTAAAAAAATAATAAAAATTTAAGGACATTTTTTATTACTAAATGTTGAAATAGCCACTCTAATAAAGCGGTTCCCTAATTGTAATTGAAATAAACTTAAACCCTATTGGTCATAAATATTTAAATCTAATAAACAAATTTTAAATGAACAAATTTAAATCTAATAAACGTTCGCCTACAAATAGATGGGTTAATTTAGCTCACTCGTATTTCGCAATCAAAACGGAAGTCATTTTCTTGTACTCACTTTTATAATTCACTTATCCCCTAACTATAGGACCAACCCGCTATAAACGTACGTAGCCGCTTTCAGAGAGTGAATGCTCGTAATGTTTTCTGTACATTACCTACCCACTTCATGAGTCGTAATTGCCGCGACATAATTCTGAATCCTTTACTTACTATACTGAAATAATATTACATACTTACTTTAATACATACACTGTCAATGAAATGTAATCTTTAAGTTACACTGTCAGATTTAAATTCTACCCAACTGTAGAAGGTAAAAATAATACAATTTTTTTAGAAACTGTAGGCGATTACAAGCGCTAGGGTCATTCTTCATCATCCCACGCTCTTTTGCTTTTCCAATCCTGCATTTCCCAGGAACCTTAAATGTCACGCAATTTTGATCACGTACACCTCATTAAGATAATATTCTCTACTATAAGTGCCGGGCATACTGACCCAAAAACTTCCGAAACTCATTAACAGGACACGACGTATACAGAAATCAACACTAAAATTTTGGAATGACCAACTCTATAATGGATGTAACGAATCAAAAATTAAACCCCATTTAATATGTTCCTGTTACAACCTTTATTGCATGTATGTATAATTTTAAAATTATTCTGTAAGGGGCCCCATTAAGTAAGTACCGTTCCAGTGCTGGTGTTTTTTCTACCAACAGTTTGTATTTGCTGTTTGTTCCGTAGAGTCACGGATGTTGAATTGTACACTACGCACCAAACCTACATTTATCCTGACTCAATTCGAAGGATTCTAGAGGAATATTCTGAGAAGATTTTAAGCATTCTAATGGTTCTAAAGCAGGGTCCATTAAACGTTGGGGCATTGGGTTCTCTTGAGGGACAAAACGTCTAAACCATGGAGAGATCAATTCAGATCGTGGTATATCACCATCTTTACGAGTAAGTAGACTGGCTATGTATCCCACTGTAATTGTTATAAGGAAGCTAATCAAAGTGTAATACCAATAGTTGATTCGGTATAGCACAAATACCTCCTCCTCTTGTTTCTCCACTCTAAAAATTAGTATGAGACTGAGCATTGGAGTAAACACTTACGTGATCGTGGAGTTAATTATGGATTCACAATTTTCTATCGACATTGGTTTTAAGTGATCTTTAATGAGTCCTTTATATTTGAAGTACTGGTGACCGACGAATAACCATACCACGAACACCACAGCTGTAGCACTTCCTACCAAAGCGCCCTGAAATAAAGTGTGAGTAACTTGACACATGAATAAGTATTACCGCAGCATTTGATTTAGGAAAAACCAATCCTAGCGTGTACAGTGCGACCACGGGTCCTCCAAAGATGCCAAAGAAGCTGGTCATTGTTGGAAGTATTCCTCCAAGATACTGAATGAGGTATGTAAGTATAACGCACACGCCTCCAGCAAGAAGGACAATTATTTTCAAAATTGTATCTCGATGTTTTTCATTGAATTGTGTCGAAAGGACTGGTTCCAAAAAATCGCAGTAAAGTATGGCCGGTAACGAGTTAAAAGCTGTTGATAAAGTACTCAATCCTCCGCTAAATATTCCCGTAATAAATAAACCCGGTAATCCAAACACTTGTCCTCCGGTATCCATTACAAAGTATGCAACGATTTGATCGTAGTTCTTAATTTTGTTGCTCAGCAGGGGATCACAGTGAGAGTAACGGGAGTAGATCGTAAGTCCGACTAGTACGACAAAAACGTTCATTGCGACAAGACCCAGCAGTAGCAAAACCATCGCCCTAAAATGGAACGTCTTTAGCAAGAAGTGGCAATATGTGCTTACTTATGCGCTTCCCCGTATGATCGAAGTGACTTCAATCGTTGTAGCGTCGGTTGACCCAATGTAATGGGCATCATAAGCATTAGCGAATAGGAAAAGACAATGGTATAAATAGATTCTCGCGTTGTGAGGTCCAAATTGAACCTAAAAGGGTGTTATGCTCATAAAATAACTTCAATGCTTTACCTTAGTATGTCCAAACGTCCACCTTTAACCGACTCGGACCACACAGTACCCAGCCCACCGCTTGCGTTGAATCCAATTATCAACACAACAATTAAGCAGACATTCATGACAATGGTCTGCAAGACATCAGTCCACACGACCGCGTTGAAACCTCCCAGAGTAGTGTAAAAAACGCAAAACAGACATGTGACGATTGATATGATCGTACCGGAAAAGCCAGTCACTAAGATAAGTGTTGTAAATGGTTCATGATTATGTATTTTTTAATAATTATCAAGTGAGTAAAAGTAATAAAAAAAGTCTGTCAGTCAATCATATTTTTAATAATAAAATTCTTAAGAAAATCAGAAGCCTAAATCTTCCTGACAGCTATTTTCAACAATAAGGGTTGGTTTTGAAAATCCTCAGTCTTTGCTTACTTACTTTGCTCTAGTAGAATACTGGGTACGTACAAAGTAATCGGGCAGAACAACACTGTTTGGATGACACAAAGCGTTGACGCAATTAACCGCACTTTTCGAGTGAATCTTACTTCCAAATAATAAAAGATACTTGCGGTTTCCAAATTGACTAAGACTGGCATCGTTATAAACATTGCACAGAAAATGGCAACGATATAAGAGACGGGCGACCAGAGATACATTGCTCCAAACTGGTATATGTCGGACGGAAATCCTACCAAGATGACTCCAGACACGTTGCTAAAAATTGCATTAACTTCGCCCTTTTGCTACTCACTTACCTGGCGATCAACGAAGCGACCACCGCAAGAATATTCGTTTTTCCGCCCAAAATGTAGTCATCGCGCTCCTTTCGTTTTTTACGAAATCCAAAATATAGGCCGATCATTACGCTACATCCCAACAGGCTGCACAAAATTGTGTAGTCCAACCAAGTAAAGGTGTAACCGACCATTACTGCTTGTATCAGCAAAAATTGCCGGCTGGATTAGTTTTATCACAGATTTAAACACCCTTGATATATCATACTTTAAGATCTGTGGTATTTTGTACCCGTGTTATCACACTCGTATCATACAATGCTCGTATCATATCAGCGATTGTGATGTACCCGGGCAACCTCTACCATTATGTATTTATTATACGGTCCCTCTACCTATTGATTTCAAAAAGAGGAATTCATTTTCTCATATTTTATAATGTACTAATACCTACATACCCAAACCGCAAATTAAATGAATTAATTTCAATTTTTTCGTTTAATAATAATTCGTCCAAAAGATCATAAAATAGGTACCATAGGTATAAGACAAGTCATACAATACAATTATAATTAGGGTACTGCAACATAAATTCGTCCACTAAGTAATAAGCCTTACTTAAAGGGAATAAATCGGATATGGTTTTTATATCTGCACCATTGAATAAAGTGGTTTTTATTCATTGTATGCACTAAGCATAATATTGTACATTGCTACCGCAATTTAATAGTACATTATATATCAAGGTAGAGAAGTCCACTATTATTGCCTGAGCACCAAGATTACATCTCGAGGCGTTTGCGCCGAGGGGTGTAAGGTGCGAAGGCAATAATAGACTTCTCTACCGTGGTATATATACTATTTTTTTTCACTACTAGCACTTGAAATCCTCTAAATTAACATATTATATTGATAAGAGAGTTAACGGTTGGACAGAATTGTTTGTTTCTTAATTTAACATGTCAGTCAAGTACGTGGAAGCACAAGTCAAACAGGCCGTATTTTGTTCTGTCATTGAGATTTTTCAAAGAGTAATTTCGTTCGAATTTTTTCAAAATGTGATAATTTTAGGTATGTAAATTTCTCTGGAAATTGCGAATGGTGGCAATTATTCGTTTTAGAGAACTTGTCTAAACGTTCATTGAGCGAAATTTCAGGTTGTGTTTTCTAAAAGTGACAGCGTGACAGTTCTCATTATTGACTACTAGTTAATAATAAAAAATTATTAACCACTTTGAACAAATGCCGAGAAAGCCTACTTTACAAGTGGAAAAAAGGTTAATAATCATGTCATCAGACGCTAGTAGTGAAAAAAATAAATAATATATTTCCAGAGGATGCTAACAAATTCTATTGGAACAGTATGCACGGCCGCTAGGGCGTAGGTTCTTAGCATAGATAAGTATGAGATAAGGGCGCCAGGGTCTTTAATCACTGTCACCAATTCAGTACTGCTTACCTGACCCAGGATAAGTTCATTAAAATCTCTAGTAATAAATAAAAAAAAACTACGCGGTGCTAAGATAGCATTATAATCTATTAAATTAAGGTCGATTCGGTTCGAATACAGAATTAAATTAAAATATTAAGTATACAGGGTGACAATTTGAAAACTTACCACCCCCCATATCTTATTAAATAAACGAGATATTTAAAAAAATCAAAATCCGTTTCGGTAATTCGGAGGGAGAATCACAATGACATAGTTGGCGACGCACCCCCTCCAACCCCCTGCGCCCCAGCCACCCCAACTTTTAAATCTTAAATAGTGACCCCCCATGTGTGATACGTCGTTGGAAAGGTCTGAAAAAATGCTTTCCAACCATACCAAATAGCATTACATTTAGGTTAGTAATTATCGTGCAAATCAAAAAATAAACTAATATGATACATTTGAAATCTGTCGTATTAAAAACCGGCGAACATAGACGAACTAAGACAGAGAATAATTCAAGAATGTCGAAATATTGCAAAACCAACATTTGAAAAGGTTCGACAAGAGTTTGAGAATAGATTATAACTGGCGATCAAAAATGAGTTGCTGTCGAGTCGGCTTTGGAAGTTCAAGTTAAATACGATTTTCCATGTTTATTTTTTGATTTGCACGATAATTACTAACCTAAATGTAATGCTGTTTGGTATGGTTGGAAAGCATTTTTTCAGAGCTTTCCAACGACGTATCACACATGGGGGGTCACTATTTAAGATTTAAATGTTGGGGTGGCTGGGGCGCAGGGGGTTGGAGGGGGTGCGTCGCCAACTATGTCATTGTGATTCCCCCTCCGAATTACCGAAACGGATTTTGATTTTTTTAAATATCTCGTTTATTTAATAAGATATGGGGGGTGGTAAGTTTTCAAATTGTCACCCTGTATATGAATTGAGTTGAATATTTGGTTTAACAATTTGACGCAAATGAAAATCTACGAATTCTCAAACAAAAAACTATACTGTGGGTAGGTATATTTATGGGCAAAAAACCAATTTCGACAAAAAATTCAAAGGGCTGTAACTTTTGATCTAGTAGCCCGATCTTGGAACTGTTTGGAATTATGGATTCTACAGGCCACATTCTATAAGAAAATATTTTCCGGTCGATCTGAGACAATTTTTTTTTCTGGGCAAAAAAAAGGCAGTTATTACCCCCCTTTTTTACCAAAAATCGACTGCACCAAAATTTCTCGGAAAAAAACTTTTTCTTATTAATTTGGGTGCGTAGAATCCAAAACGATTCGTACTTTTTCGATTAGACGTCTCCATCAAAAGTTATGGGCAAAAAAATTCCTGTTTTTAAAATTCTTATTTTCGTCATTTCGTGAAAGGCAGGACGCAGGTACCTCACCTCAGTAGCAGTACTAAGTACCTGATACCTATTTGTTATTTTGGGCATCAATGTAGCGAATTGCCGATCGATGCCGAATAGCCAAATCGTTGACTGCCAACACTGATCACTCACTGAATAGTGAATACTGAATACTACAGAATATTTAGATTTTAGTGACTTTAGACTTTAACCAAAACCAAAATTGCTCTCTATATATACCTATATATTATTGCCTTTATTTTAAAGTGGGCGGAGCGGATAGCGGAGTATTACCTAAATACCTAATAGCTATGATGATAACTCAATTCTTCTGGGGGGGGATATCCCCTTCATCCCCCTCCCGTAAATACGCCACTGGGTGTGAGTCGGGAGCGCTCACAACTCGGTTCCCCAAACCAAGCTTTAAATTTAATAAACTATAATGCTAACTTGGTTTGACGATACCGCCTAAGGGAACACCCTAAATATACACGCAACTTTATAACGCGTTTAAGTAACTTTTGGAGCGACCTCGTAGATTCCCTGACAGAATATTACTTCAAAATTTGACTCTAATTAGTGATAATAACTTAATAAAAATGTTTTCCTTCGATATACGAAAGTTAAAGTTGTTATTCGATGTTCGATAGCAAACGGAAATTCGGCGACTCCAATAGTTGATGATAATAAATATAAAAGAGAGCTGACCTTAACTGAAGTTTAGCTTCTCTTTGGGACGACAGCGGCCAGTTCGATAAATTGGTAAAGGTGGTAATCTTCTTGGAGGGCGGCGCTTCCTCGGCAATTATCTTCAAGTAGAAACGGCGATACGTCTAATTTCCGGACGAACTCCTTTATATACGATTCCAAATCAAAAATAGACGAAATCCAGAATGGGAAAAGAAAACGAAAAAATAAAAGGCCTAAAATAATTATTAACGACAATTCAACTCATGTATAAAAAATCGCATAAGCCGCAGTGTAATTGTCACTTTGACAGCGGCAAAAGTTACCTGCAACTTTTCCAGCGACAAATGCACTAGTGGTTTTTTCACTTATTCATTTTGGAACAATTATCGCATTATCCTTTCCCATATGATTAGCTTGACGTCTGTCAATAATTGACTAGTTTGGTGAATTTCTTGTTCGTTAAATTGTCCTGCCGAATTACACTCGAGGTTTGTATTTAAACCGAGTAAATTTGGGTTGTTGCAATTCAAATCTGTTTCCTTTTAGCAATTGAACTCGAAAAACTGTCAACCTAAAAATGCTCCACCTGCGGTGTCGCATTTTTATTAGTTGACAGTTTTTCTCGTCTAATTGCTAGGCAACAGATTTTCATTACCTAAACAACCCAAATTTACTCGGTAAAATACAAACCTCTTGTGCAATTATAAGTGATAAAACCGCGAAATACAATGGAAATAATACCTGAGATATCGGGAGGCCTGCAGATATACGTTGCTGTTTATATCCATTATTTCTTGAGTTATCTTCTAAGTCTTCTAAGACAATGCTAAGTAGATAACTTCTAACTACCTTTACTAAGGATAACTCAAATTACTTTTATTTTCGCACTCGATTAATATCAAAATGGATGCAACAACGACCAAGTGCGAAGCAACAATCCCAATTTTTCAAATAATAGCGATCGGCGTTATCATTTATCGCCTTAAATTTTACTTTAAAACCTTAAACGACATCTAACAAATTTTGTATAAAGCCAGGTACTAAAATGCTATAGAAATTGAAATTTGAACTGTAACAACATTACAGCAATGTATTTATAACGAATAAATACAATGATTATAGCACCGGCATAGGTACACTGGATTTTTGGCGCTTATAAATTCACTTTGGCTGTTCGGTCCGTCGGTCAATCGGCTGCTCGAAGGAACCATCTTAAGAATGCTAGGGTTTGAAGAATTAGCTTTGTGTCACAATTCTTTGCAGGCAGATTATATGTCAGCGGTAATAAAACCTCGATCCGTCACACAAAAACGCGCTCAAGTGGCTCGACTCATCGAGTAGGTACTTTCCAACTTGTTTTATACACTTCGAGATTATGCGTTTTTAGGGGAATTTTTGGAAACTAAAAAAATTTCCCTTAAGTGATGGTTTTGTCTATCTGTCCGTCTGTTTGTCTGTTCCCCATCTAACTCGAGAACGAAAACAGACAGCGATGTCAAACCTTCGCCAATCGATTTCTACGAGTTCAAGGATCAGTGCTATTGAATATGAGCCGGATCAAAGGTCTGGTTTCCCAATACGAGCTGAGTGGCAAAAAATTTCCCTACTGAAAATCGTATGCAATTATTCGTATCTTGTTTTATATTGTAAGTTAGTTTAGTTCCATAACGAGTAGGTACTAAATTATTGATGAGAGATGTTTTGTGCGATGAGGTTTTTTAAGGTATTTTTAACAAACACTAACATTCCATATACAGGGTGGT